GGTTGTGTGTCCAGGTCCGGGGAGTCGAATAACGGCGTCTGCGCCTGCATCGTTGAACACGACTCGGAGGCAGAAATTAAAAGAGCCCTCGAACCAGTCAATAACCTCCCCAGCGTCACGGCCAAGTCGACAAGCAACGAATGATGCAATTTCAGAACGAGCTCCAAGAATTTTATCCTTCCACTTATCCCATTGGGCATCGCCAGCCTTCTCGGCTATCTCGTCGAAAACACTCATATTCACAGCGATCAGACCTCTGTCGTTTCGTGGAAGGGCGTGACGTGAAAGAGTGAAGCGTTGCGAGTTCCAGCGCCGTGCTTGACAAGGGCGGCGTGGGTTGTACTTAGTGAGACCAACCCACCAAGGCACGTGCCAGCCCCTGAAAATGAATTGCGCAGAATCCTACCAGCCACCAACGCGACACTGTGTGCCTCAGGGATAGCAAGCAGAAGTGTCCAGGGCTATATAATTCTGTTCGTCAGGGTTTGAAACAGCCAATACTCTGCAACAGGAAAATAGAATGCCATCTTATATTTACTGTGCGGTAACTGATAATTTACAGTAAAAGGTGAAATATTCAAGTGTCGGTAGATTGAAAGATAACTTTATTAGTGAATGAATGTGGGTCGGCGTGTGGCTTCTGTGGCTTTGCGACAGCAAATTTCTCGCGATGGGTAAAGCCATGTTTCGTCTAAGTAGAGGAAGGGCTTCATTTGGTCTCTTGCCTTCTCATAGAGCTCGTGTATTGAGGCTTTAGCAAATTTTGTCCAGTGGCTGAAGAAGATATCGTATTCCTGGCTAGTCGCAAAATTCTTTCTTGCAATTTGTTTGTACATTCTTATGGGTGCCACACGGCGGCAACGTGGGCCACTTTCACGTATTGTCGACAGGAGCGCGGGGTCTTTGTCAGTGCAAAGTATCGGAGGCTCATTTGTTGGTTCTAGAAGAGAGAAAAATGCGCGCAAAGCCCACTGATAGCTTTTTGTGCTCATTCGTCCCGCATGAAGCAGAAGGCAATGGAGAAGCTCGTCGGTGTCATGCCAATAATAAAATACTACGTCACCCCTTG